AGTTTTGTTAACATTTTTTTCTTTATATTACTTTAATTTTTATAATTTAAAAGACTTTTTCTAATTTAAAATAATAATCCTAAGAATTGCATATATTATAATTATAGGGCTATTATAATTAATTAAAGTAATTGTATATAATAAATAGTTTATTATTATTTTGTAAATTTCTTTTATAATAATCATTTTTTCTTTCATTTCTTGAAATTATTAAATTAATAATAGATTCTTATTATCGGAAAATTATTACAATTGAATTGCTTACATATCGATATTAATTTCCTTAAGAAATCAATTAGTATTCCTATTTAATTGATTTAGGATTATATTACACAAATTATAATCTCCAAGTATTCTTTTTATAAAGATTATATTGATATCAACAACTTTTCAATAAATATTAATTAACGAATTATTTTATTAAAAAATAAAAAAAATTGTTAAAATAGATATTAATAATAAATCAATTAGATAAAATATAATACAAAGATTTTTCATTAATTCTTCTAAATTTATAAAAACTATATAATTTATATATATATGTAGACTCCCTTCAGGATATAATAAGCCCAAGGGCTTACTATCATATGCCTAATGAAGCCCTTTAGTTCATGACTGTGACATATATACTTTATATATAAGGATTTTGAATAGAATTTTAATTGGTTTTCTTAATATTATAACTTTATGAAGAGTTTGTATTTTCTTTAAATCAAAATGATTAAATTGTTTATATTATAATAAATAAGTTTCTAGATCCTTTTTGATCTTATCTAAAAAAATATTTAGAATAATTTTATTTAGTTTAATATTATTAATGATTTCTATACTTTGTAAAGCAATATCTTTATATTCTTTTGTAATATTCAAGATTATATAAATTCCTTTATTCATTTTTACTTTAATAATATTTATTCTATTTTTTCAAAAGTATATATAATCTGAATTGAATCTACTTTTGAATCTAATATTATAAATTTTTTTATTAAAAAGAAGATTAACTTTTAGTCCTAATATATATAACATTTTTGAAAATAAAATCATATTATTATTTTCTAGTTTTATTATAATAATACCTATTCGATCATAGTATATAATTCTTTTATCAATTTTTATTGTCTTTTTCTTTATCTTTTTGATATTTTTAAAAAGAGAAAATTGATTAAATATATATAAGGAAATATTAATATTTATATATTAATAAAAAGAGATAATCTTATAAATAAATTCTTTAAAGATATAGTACTTTTTATTATTAAATTCTTCTTTGCTTTTTAATAAATCAAGATTAATTGAAAGATTCTTATTATTTACAAAATAAATTTGATTACTTTTTTTTTTAGAAAATAATATTTTAATTGTTCTTTTAAATATTGCTTTTTATTACTAAACTCTATAATATTTATAGATTAAAGCTTATATAAATATAAGATCTTTATAATTATATAAAAGGTAATTCTTTTATTTATAAAAATAGTAAATATAAATATTAGCTATTTCCTTTTGATTTTGCTATATTAATAAGTTTGATTCTCTATTATTTCTTTATTGATTTAGGATTATATATTTTTTACTAATAATATAAGCTTATTTTATTTCTTGGATATTAAGCTTTTTAATAATAAAATATTTGATTTTATTTTTTATTATTAATATACTTTAAATACTTATAATATTGATTATTATTTAATATTCGCTTAGAAAACTTTTAGTTAGAATTAAAAATAAAGCTTTATTTCTATATAAATCCTTGAATATAGGATTAGCAATATTAAGCTTATATTAATATTCTTTTAATTTATCTTAGACTTTAATAATAATTATTTTTAAATAATTAATAGGCTTGAAAATGAATATTTGAATTATTATCAAATACAAATTGATTATAATATTACTAATTCTTGAATACTTTAATTTCAAATAGTTCTATAATATTTATATTATATTATTATTAAATAATCTATATATATATAATAATATATTAACTTTATTTTTCAAATATTTAGCCTTTTTATCTAAATTGAGCCTAATATTTATAACTTTGTTTTCTTCAAGGATTAAAAAAACTTCGATATTATTAACTTCTATTCCAACTCCTCCAATCTAAATATACTCTTATAATATAAACTCAATTATATAGAATCAATTCTTTTCTTTTAATTATATTTTCATTTATCGAAATTATCGATTATAGATCTTTTAAATAAGGTTTAGAATGCTTTTTATTTGCTCTTTAGTTTTATTCATTTTGATATCTATATAAAGAATTTATAAGATTTTCTTTCTCTTTTTCTATATAAATAGATTTATATAGATTATAAATATAAATATAATTAGTATTACATATTTTCTATTATACTATATATATATTTATTTGTAAATAGTATTATATACTCTTTCAATTCTATGAATTAGTAATAATAGTAATTATAGTATCGCATACTAGTTGTAGGGTAGTGCTATGCACTCTTCAATTCCGTAAGTTGGATTATAATAATAATTATATCAATTATATTCAGAGGCTGTGTTAATCAGGTTTTATAATTTATTAAAAGATTAGGTGGAAAAAGCCTTTGTATTGATTATATTACTATATATATAAGTATATTGATCCTCTTATAATATTATATAAGAGGACCAATATACCTGTCTATAATTCATCTAATCTAGCCTGTTTAGGTAACAGTATTACTAATCACTACACATGCTTAGCACCGGTAACGTCTATTTCTTTTAACAAATATTATATATTTATATTTATTATTATATTTAAATTATTTTATTCAATTATTATATTTAAACTATTTAATTCAATTATTATATTTAAATTATTTAATTCAATTATTGGATATTAATAATTTTAGTAATTTAAAATATTTATATAATAATCAAATTAATAGATTTATTAAAATACACATCAATTATATTTCAAAGATTGAATTCTTTATAGCTTTTAAAATTATATACAAAAAATCAATTATTTCTTAGAATATAAAATCAGGATTTCAAGGAATAGATTTAATTCTATTTAATTTTAAAATTATATTTTCAAAATTAGATATTCGAATTTATATACCTACCCCTCTTTTTTTTAATTTAAATCAATAAATTTCTTAAACTCTTTATAATCTAATTAAAGCTTTTTTTTAATTAATGTTAATTAAATTTCGAATAACTTATTATTAAATAAACTCTCTTATATCTATATTTGAAATTATATTGCTTTAATTAAAAATATAAAAAAATTAGTTTATAAAAAAATATTTTTGATTATAAAGATTTATATATTTTGGAAAATAAATGAAATATTAAATAAATATTAATATATATAAAAAATCTAATTATGTTAAAAAAGAGTATTTATTAAATAAAAGACTTTTAATATATTATTTTAATAAAAGATTAATATTTAGATTCAATATAATAAATATCAAAAAGAAAAGAATTCTAATAGAAAAATATTTTCTAATTGATATTATAATAAATATAGAAAAATAGATTATAATATAAGAATCTATCAAAATAATATAATAAATTCTAGATTATTAGATTTTCAATAATTTTAATTAATTGATTTAATTATTATTGAATGATATAGATTTGAAAGTATAAATTAAGGTGAAAGTGATTTATATACTGATATAGCTCATATACTAATAAACCATGTTATCCCTTCAAGGTTCTCGAAACATGATTACATAAATCTCCTATTGATTTCGGAACCCCCCGCCGCTCTTGCCGACATTGACATGGAGATTCAAATCTCTTACATAAGTACCTACCTATATAGGACGGACACTTTCAATGTTCTCACTTCAAAACCCGGATGTTCGTTGCACCTTGCAATGCTAGGATTAGTTTTCTTCAACCAGACCGGCGGGTCCATAATATCAGTCGTTCGAACGGCTTCTTTGCCGAAATGACCAGGAACATCATGAGCACATTTATTCCCGGGGATTGAAATGGTTCTAGAGTCTGGACATGGGGAAACAACCTCGGAGGCTCCTTGGTTCCGTGATCTTGCATGAAGCATCCATACCTTGTACCGTCCTCGATTGAAGAAATCTGAAAGGGTGAGACGACGATGCGAGGGTCGTGTGTATTTTTGGTATAGAGAATATTAGATGACTTTCGGCATATGCTGATGCTGCTACATTCTGTGCATCGAAGAATACTCTAATACATACATGCATACTGCTTAACCGTGGACGGGGGAGAGTAGCCGATATGCCAGCCTTTCCAGACTGTCAAAGTCCTCGTGCCACATAGATGAATTCCCCGATGATTGCAAAATTTGATCGTACTGGGGTAAGATTGACATGTCACTGTTGTCAGGTCCCCTGGTTCCCGAATGCGAGCGAGCTTGGTATTGGTAGTGCTGGGAGACAGCTGTCCTTGAATCCATTATTCCTTATACATATCAGACGAGAGTCCGCTTTGACCTGTAAAATAAACCCATTTAAGTGAACATGATGTAGTTTCAGCTTGGACCTCTTTTTTCATCCAACGGTGAGATGAAGCACCGCAAAGTACCCAGGTGAGGGCGGGTAGTCAAAGTATCACCGATGAGGTTATTTAGCTTCTTGGGTCTTTTTCATGTCCTGTGTAAGGTTATGTCTATTCGAAATGATCGCATGTGACCTTGAATTGGTTTCGGCACTTGCTATTTTTACACTTGAAAAAACCTCGGGGACCATTTCAAGTGGACAATTTTGAGGACATTTTCTTATCATACATTTACTTCTTCCCTTGGTATTCTTTGGAATCATGTCCCGGTAATTAGTAGCAGCAAGACAGCAACCATCCTGTGGCCCCATGTATGAAATCTGGTTCCACAAGCCCTCCTTAGACTTTTGCAATTATATCGCCGTCGAGCCGTTTACATGGGTAGATGTGTTCCTTGGGGCTCGGGGTAGAAATAGATAGGATCCATAGGGCACAGACTTGCTTGCATTGAGCAAATAATTGCTTTTGCCCTTCGATATCTCGGTTCCCCTTCATCAAATCGCTTTGGGATTTGGGGTGGTAGCATGATGTGTGAGATATCTGAGTAGATCGTGATCGAAGAGCATGGTAGAGAATACGCAAATAGGAGGTTTTGGCGAGATAAGATAGGGATGCGTGCTTAGATCTAGTGCAAGACAGACGACTTCTGGAATGAATTGTTGAATCCACGATCCGATAGGAGGTCCCGTTTGAATAATCCCCGATTTGCAATGTCCTTGTAGTTCCTTGTAGGGTATACGTTTGAGCAGGACTAGATGTCTAGGGATGTCTACTACGAAAGGATTTTCAATCATCTAGGGAAGGCTAAAGTGACATTCAGCTAGGTTTGTGGGAGATGAACAACCGCATTACCATATTTGATCATTCTCAATGTTTTTTTTCTTGAGTATTGGAGATATTGACTAGATGCTTTTGTCGAACAGATATCTGTATTCGTCAGCCTTTCTAGCCCTTTCAGTCCTTGTAAGACTTTCCACAATGGGAAGATCTCATAATCTATCTAGGTATTGATGTGTGCCAATGGATGTATTGACTCTCGGAAAGGGAAATTGTTTCTTTCGTACAAAATGTCTTTTGCTTTTCATCACCCCCCAAGTTCAAAGCCCCCATACGTACATATATACAGAGTACATACATACGAACCATCAAATCGTTATCGAGAATTGATCATTGACATGGTCCCACCAGGATTAGATCTAAGAAATCACGGACCTTGCGCTACTTTTTTTTTTTCAACGCCATGTCACGGACACACATCTCTCAAGCTGCGACTTTCACTCAAAAATTCCCAAAATGCTTCGCACAACACCGCACCAGTTAATTTATCGAACAAACACAACCAAATCTCACACGGGCATACCCTGTCCTGTTCCCACGTCTCTTAATAAATCGGATCCTCCCATATGATCCACATTCCAACAGCCCCAATGTCCATGAACTATGGATGCCCAGGTGGTGAGTGCGAAATTCCCAATATTGTGTTTGATACATACCACACAGTGGCCTTTCCCAGGCTCATCTGCCCGGTACCCGGTACGGATGCTCTTTATATCTTTCTTTGCCTGTGGATGTTTGGGTACGCGGCGCACCATCCCACCAGGGGTTACGGGTGTGAAGCTTTGATTCAAATGGCATACCGAGCCCTCCGCTGGCAGAGCATATCATCCGTTCGCATCCGCAACTTTATAGTAGGTATATGGTATCATCAGTCGTTCCTTTTTTCACCTCTTGACTCTTGAGTTTGTATCCATTCATCTGTACAGGTTACAATATCACAGTTGTACTCAAGATCTAACACAGTCACCGATTTGTCTCTGCTCAGACATCATTTTGACATTGGTGGCTAGAACTTTCCCTTACTTTTCTCATTAATTATCTTTCCGTAACGCCTTCACACTTGTTTGCATTCTGTTGCTTTTTCAAACAGTGTTATAGGGAAGGTTCAGGTGATATATCCACATCTATTCTTTTCATTATATTTCAGCCTCAAAGAGTTTCGGCAGTGGATATATAAAGGTATGAGACTCTCCCTGACTCGTACTTGTCCGATATCAACTTCGCACTCGCATTGCTACTCGAGCTTCACTGAAGTTATACCTCACGTCACTATTTTCCCCTAGCCCCACCTAGTAAGTATACTACCTACCCCTCCAACCCTTTCGCCATACTGACCTATACCTCAGTCTTTCCCTCAAAATACACCATTCTCTTCAGCACCATGTGCGAATACACAAGGAACTACTACATCTACACTTCATGTATCGATCCCGGAGCTCACTACTTCTCAACCTCCATCGACGGAAGCAAAGAACGCCAATGTGCAAAGGGGCCCCACGAACGATACATTGTCGTGCCCGGGCATTGCCCTTTATGCTCATGAACACCGACGTTATCATCAATCCTCCGGAATCTCTATGAATCTCTCCGAGGTTCCACATATCACATTCGACTTCACGTACCATGATTGACACTTTTATTTCGCGTCTGACCTTGCACCAATACCCCCAAAATCACATGGCAGGATTTTGGATGCCTTTCTTCCGAAACAAACTCCGGGCATCAACATAGCGCTTCAGCGAATCGGTGTACTTCTTTACTAGGCGAGCTTATTTTGAGCAGGGTGTTTGGGACAAGCTATGGGATGGGCTTCATTTTGATTTTGGGGATATATATTTGTCACCGATGGAGTTTTATTGGTCAATTTTGCTTCTCTTGTATCGTCAACGGCTGGGAAAAAACATGGAAAGAGCTGGATCTCGGGTATTTGTAAAAGCAAGGGACGAAGGAGTATATTTAGCGATCAACAGCATGGAAGTTTTATTCATTGAGAAGCAAGGGAAAAGGTTCAGCTTCGGGTGCATACACAGATACACAATTTCTGATTACAGGCTTCATTCAAGTCTCCATTCAGATTCAAATATAATTTTTTAACCAATCTACTTTCCCTTTTCCCTCTCGTCTCCAGCTTATTTCCATCTTTAAAAGTCCGAAGTTTTGGTGGGCGAGATTTTCTTTTGATAATTCTAGTCAAGTACCTTACATTAGTGTCCGCATATGTGGCTGTCTACGAGCCAGTTACACAGCATGACTTCTGTTCGAGCCATGAACGCTGCGACGATCCTCGCCATGCTAAAGCGAAGAGCGGGAGGGTCGAGCCGAATTAAATGTAGAAGTATTGATAATCACATGGATGATATCTTTGGGGGTGCAAAAATAAATCAACAAGTTCTTAAAAATACGACATATCTTCTTTAGACATTCCGGCACCGAACACCACCGCCTCTTCACGGTTAGGTTCGTACCTATTGACTGTTTCTTTTTTCCCAATCAGTGCGATTAAGCTTTGGCAGTCTTCTGGACACAGCTTCTTCTCCGTGGCGTGAACTAGCTTAACATCAAGCTCACAGCCGCCTCACATGAAGATTTTTCTTCTCCAAATATGGGGACCCCCTTTGCTTTCGTAGGGTAATTGGGGGGACCCACGGGGACTAGATCTGACAAATCGAAACTTGAAAAGAGAGTTTTTTTTGCTTTTTAACTCCCCGATAGTATTGAGGAGTTTATTCCCTCAGCTGAAATGTAAATATGAGGAATGTATGTATGTAACATGTATGTAATATGTATGTAATATGTATGTATGTACTGTATGTGGTGAGGTAACCGAGTTCTTCAGCCGTGGATTTGGAACGAGGAAGAGGAAGCGGGAGGCTGAAAAGAATGGATGGAGAGACAGGGGATGGGAGATCCCCCACTTCGATTTTTTGGATGGATGTGGGGGCTTGGCGGATAAATATTTACTAGGTGTGGATATCAAAATTCCCTAGCCAGTACGTATGTTCCATTGATTTTTTAATCGCTCAAGATATTCTTCCGTGTTGCGGGTATGATGTATCTACCGTAAGGTTACTATCGTGGCTTCAACATGTATAATGCGATCATTGCAATAGAGAGTGTGCACGGGGTTGTAACCGACGTCCCTGTATCTTGTACAACCCTACATCTTGCACAACCTCAAATTCATCACTATTACAATTTCAATATTTAATTATAATTATAATTTATAAGATATTTAATTGAAACTTTGAAATATTAATAATATAATATAATGTTATTGTAAAGATTTATAAAATAATTAAATTTTAAACCTTATTAATATTGTAATTACTTACCCACTTTTAGTTTTGATTTCCACCCTTTCTTTCTTATTCCTTGACATATTAATTTCCTTCTTATTTAAAAGGTTTATAGCTTTTTGAGATATTAGATTTAATATAAAAGAAAGTTCTAAAGTATTTTTAATTTATTTAATAAATGAACTTAATATTTTAAAAGCTTTCTTACTATACTCTTTAAAACTCTATAAAATTTAATAATCAATCTTTCTTTACTTAACTTTCTTTTATATCTCTAAATACTTTTTTTACTTTTTAATTTTCTTTTCAATTTTCTTTAGTTTTTTATTTTATTTTTATTTTTAAATAATAAGCTTTTTAATAATTTAATATATTTTAATTTTTAAAATAATATTTGTCACGAGACCCCTTCTGGGAGTATTCAGAAGGTTTACTACTGAGCTAAAGAGCTTAAAAGACTAGGAGGTAGAACTAGAAGCTTTATCTTACTCTCATATATATAATAGAATAGAACAGGATAGAAAGGGCTAGTATTACCTTGTAACAATATTAAAGAAATATAAATATACTCTATTTGCCTTTTTTCCCATCAGATTTAATCTTTTGAATTAAGTTTTTTTTTTCTATTTTTACAATTTTTTCTAACTCTTTTGCTTTATATAATTGAATACTAATTTGAATTATATTAATAAAAACAATTTTAAAAAGCTTTGAAATAATTCCAGAATTATTTTGATATCAAAATTCTAATTTGAGTTTATAAAAAACTTTTATAGTATATAGAGTTTTGAATTTATTTTTATATAATTATATTGATATAGATGGTATAAAGAAAGATTTAAGTATAATATTAGTAATAATAACTCTTTTATTGTGAGCGGAACTTTGTACTGACCACATGGCCTATTCTCATAGCTAGTATTTATAGTCCTTCTTCCTGTAGTTTAAAAATGTTAGTTAATTCTCATCTAATTTCTAATACATCTTGTAAAACATTATATAAAGTCTCCTTCTTCTCTTCTTTATCTGAGGCACTATGTTATAGTGACTTTTCTGTGGTATATACGAAGGACTACTCTATAATCCTATCACCTTCAACTCTTTTATATTATATATAAAATAAATATTTATTTTTTCAAAGTGTTGGTTCGAGAAGGATACGAAAGACGTAGCACCCACGTATTATAGGTCCTGTATATCTAATTATGTCGGGACAGGGATCATGTGACCGCACTAGCGCTTGCGCTAGTGCCTCGGCACTTAAGTATAGACGTATCGTAGCCCTAGCTTTTAGAACCTCAAGCAATATTACAACAGTGTGAACCATAGTACTATATTGTCTTCACCATCCCCATGGTGATACCAACAAATTATATTCTATCTAAAAAGCTAGTTAAATAGGAAAATAATAGGCTTTACATAGGTATTATTAAAAGAGCTAATCTCTTTCGTATTCGCTTAATTCCTTTGATATAGTAGTTATTGTATTGAAGTTATTTCTTTGAAGTAAATATCTTTGTTTACACATAAAGAAAGAAAGTGTGTGAACAAGGGTATTCACTTCAAGGGAATGATTTCAATATAATGGCTATTATATCAAAAGGAAATAAACGAATGCGAAAGAGATTAGTTCTTTCAGTAATGCCTATATAAGGTCTACT